CCCCCCCCAATAAACCAGACAGACACCCCGGCTCTGTGTATGGCTGCACTGCGGGACGGGCCCATGGCTGAGCTGTGGCACCGCGGCGGCTCCAGGGACAGGACCCCATGGGAGGGAAGGGACAAGGGCACCTTCCTGTGGGGCACGGGTTTGACGCCAGCACCCATCTCACGTGGGCTGTGGCCCCACGGGGGTGCAAAGGGCAAGGGGGGGTGTGGGGTGTGTAACAACCTTGAACGGCGGCATAATTAAATATTGCAACACCTGCTTAGCAGGGTACTCCTGGTGCCAGCTCTGGTGCCAGGGCTGCCGTGCAGCCCAGGCAGAGACGGGGCCGGAGGAGGTGGCATCGCCTTTACTGAGCCCGGGATGCGGCGCAGTGCAGAACTGCACAGCACGGCCCACGTTGCCGTGTTGCCGCAGCCACTCCCGTTCTGGGGTGCCCATGGCCCCCATCCTCTGGGGCAGGTCACTCCTGCCGGTACGTGCCATTGTAGGTGAAGGGCTCCGGGGCAACACAAGGGCCAGGGCTGGCGGGTGTCCAGCGCTGGATCTCCAGCTGGGAGAAGGTGGGGGGGTCCAGCGGCCGGACGATGACGGGGCTGCGCGAGGCCACCGAGGGGTCCTCGTCGAAGAAGTTGAAGGGGCGCAGGAAGAAGCCGACGGCGTTGCCGGGGGTGGCTGTGTTAGGGATGTCCTCGGCGTGTGGGACGTGCAGGAAGCCAACGGTCACCCAGGCCACCAGATCCTGCGTGGAGGGGACCGTGGCTGTCGGCACAGCATGGTGGACCTCCCACCAAGTGCTGGCAGGTCCTGCCAGCTCTGTGTCCCCGCCTCCCTGTGTCCCCAGGCTGTCACCTGGTCCTCGATGGTCTCATTGTCTCGGAGGAACCCCTCGAAGCTCACCAGGGGCTCCCAGGGGTCGTTCTGGGCATAGATGCTGCTGCTGCTGGGCTCATTCTCATGGTGCCGTGTCACGGCCAGGTGATACCTGTGAGGGATGGGGGGCAGGATCAGGCCCATTGCTTGGTGCAGGGAGAAGACCCACACATGTGGGTGCCAGAGTGGGGGGAAGGACCCATCTCCCACCCCTTCCCGGGCTCCCCAAGCTGTGCCACCCACTGCCCATGGGTACTGGAGGGAGGTGAGGGATCCCAGAGGGCTCCCTCAGCACCAGCAAGGCCACCAGCCACATCCCCACTGTGCCAGGACAGGGGGGCCAGAGTCACCCTCAACTGGGGTGCTCACAGCTGGGACCCCAATACAGATGCCACCTCCTGCTCCAGGGTGCCATGGCAGGAACAGGGGGATCCATCCATGGCGTCACCCGGCAGCCAGGGATAGTGGCAGCCATGACTGTGACCAGCTCAGCAGGGCTGCTGGGGTGGGGACAGGGAGCTGGGGGTGCACAGTGCTGCTGAGGAAAGGTGCCCAATGACCACGGCAGCTGGGCGATGCTCGCAGCTCGGCACGCAGATGGCGGGGCTGGCTGGGCTGCAGCCCGCCAGAGCTGGCAGGAGCCACGTCCTCATGCTGCGGGCCCCCCCGCCCCACCTGCCCCAGGAGATGCCCTTCTCCTCCTGCCAGCCGCGCGGCAGCACGCGCCCGGCGTGGGAGCTGTGCTGGATGCGGTAGCTGCGCGCGTGGCCCCAGCGGTTGCGCCGGTGAGGGTTGTAGAAGAGCAGGTAGCGCGGCAGCGCCTTGCCGAAGGGGAAGGCGGCCTGGCGCTCTCTGCGGCGGGGCTGCCGGTGCAGCCAGGGCTGCACCACACGGGCACCGGGGCTCCAGGGGTTGGAGATGTTCTCAAAGCGCACATCCATCGTCTCGAAGCTGTTGCCGGTGCCTGCAAATCGGAGAGGCTGTGAGCAGCAGTGGGCCCCGCAGCACACTGGCAGCCCACCAACGTCAGCCCGCCCGGTGGCCCCTTGCCCAGGACCCCCCAGAGATGCCACCCTGTGGTGGGTCACCTTCAGAGGGTGTCCAGACAGCACCACTCCCCTGGGGAGAGCTTCCAAGCCACTGGAACCCCATGTGGGGTCTGGTCCCACCTCCCAGCACCCTCCCCAGAGCCAGGGGGTGGTGTGGAGGCTGCACCTGCAATGTCCAGGTCCACCTTGTAGTGCACCAGGTGGGTGTGGAGGTTGCCCAGGACGTGGCTGTGGACGCGGCTGCCATAGCGCAGGCCCTGCGGCGTGTAGAAGGTGGCGTGGATGAAGCCAGTGGCATGGACCTTGGCCTCCATCACACCGTTGGGGTAGAGGAGGAAGTCCCAGATGTAGTCGTAGTTGTAGACGGTGGAAGTGGTTCGCAGAACCAGTGCCTGCCCCTCCAGGCCAGCGTAAAAGTGAAACCCTCCCTGGAAGTCACTGTCGAAGTGGCGGCGGAGAGGGACGCCGGTGGGCAGCTCGAAGATGCAGATGGCACGGGAGAAGCGCACCGGCCCGTCAGCATCGTAGAGGTGGTGGGCATCCAGGTAGGTGGCCACCTCAGGGCAGTCGATGCCACGGGCCAGCTCGTAGGTGACGGAGCCCATGCCCCAGCCAGCGTCCATGTACTTAGTTTGCATGGCGGCCGGCGTGTGCCCCCCGTAGAAGGCGATGGCCTCCTGCACACTCACCTCGTAGGCCACGCGCTCCCCATTAAAGCGCAAGTCAAAGAGCTGGAGGCCGGCTGAGGAGCGCAGGCGGAAGGCCAAGCTCCAGCCCCCGTACTCCAGCTGGTTGCCCCGTAGCCGGTACCGCCGGCCCTGGGGCTCACACACCTTGGCTCCGTGCACCTCGGTGGGGGTCTCAGTGGCGAAGTGCCCGCGGGGCTCGTAGCTGGAGAAGAGCTGCTGGGACGGGGGCTCAGCCAGGTGGGCCACCACCAGCGTCCCCTCCTCGTAGCGCCGGGCCAGCTCTTGCGGGCTGGAGAAGTACTGCCCATTGTACCAGAGCTGCTGCACCGCCCAGCGCCCCGGGTCAGGGTCCCGGTGGTCCACCAACACCTCCAGCCCCACCGGGTGCAGGAAGAAACCCTCCACAAAGCGCTGCAGCACCATCCAAGTGCGGCGCTCGCCGGGCGCCAGCCCCCGCGGTGCGATGTCCGAGAAGGTCAGGCAGCGCTGGGAGCAGTTGTGGTACCAGAAGCCAGTGGAGTCACGCAGCAGCCGGTAAAGCGGCTCCATCGCCTTCACCAACGTGCGGTGCAGGAGCTCGTACTCCAGCTGGGTCATGGGCCGGGCATCGAAGGGGATGGCGCGACCCCCTTTGAAGCGCAGAGGCCGGTAGGAGCTGGGCTGGGGCAGGGGCCCCACAGCGAATTCAGTGACGTTGGGCTCTGCCTGCCCCCCAAAAAAGATGACGGCCCGAGCTTGGCGCCGGGGCTGCGGGCCACCCTGGTCCAGGTAGCGCAGTGCCAGCCGCTTCTTGGGGGGCAGCAACTCCACCAGGAAGAGGGTGTTTTTGGCCAGGGGCCCCCCACGGCTCAGGGACAGCCCCAGCTCCGGGCGGCTCATCAGGAAGGTCCGCACGGCCCGCAGCTCTGCCGGAGATAGGTCGGCGAAGATGGAGGCCTTGTCTGGAGGTGGCACGGTGGGGCCAGGGCCAGGGCTGGGGCTGGGGCCGGAGCTGGCCATGATGCTCAGCGCAGCCAGTGCCCAGGCGAGCCGAAGCAGCCACATCCTCGGGGGAACTGGGGGCAGAGGGAGCGGTCGGCTGCAGGGCCGTGTCCAGGACCCCGGCAAAACGGGCACGACGGGATGACAACGGCACGGTGCCATGTGTCGTCCTGCCCTGCAGCAGCACCACACTGTGCTGTGCCATGCTATGCCATGCTGTGCCGTGCCAGCTCTCCTGGCCCAAGGGAGTGTGAACACTGTTGCGTGCTGAGCATCAGCCCCGTGGGAGCACCCAGCTCCCAGGAGGGAGCCGTAAAGGTTCTGGGGTGCAGCCACAGGCACAGTCCCCCCCATTGAGGGGTCCGTGCTGCCAGCCTGGATCCGGGGGACTCTGCTGGAGCCTGCCTTGGTGGGGGGCCCAGTGAACTCCACAGTGGTGGTTAATGAGCAAAGAACAGGAGTGGGATGGGCTCTACTTGGGGTGCCACGGCCCCATCCACCCAGCACCCCCACCCAGCACCCACCAGGCCACGGAGTGCTAGAGGCAGCGGGCATGCACCAGCACCCCAAAATGGCCAGCACCTGCCATGGGGACTGCATGGCCCCCTCTGACCCAAACCTGTTGGGGGCTGGTGCCAGCAGATGGGACCCCCCCAAATGTGGCAGCTTTGACCTGGGGGACGCTGGCTTGTGGGGCAGGGGGGCTTTTCAGGCAAGGAGGGGGCCTGCACTGCGTGGGGATGGATGGCAGCTCTCACGTCCCATGGTGGGACAGGGGACACGGGGGCACAACCAAAATCCCGGCAGTGCCCCCATGCCATGCAGGGGTCCCACTGCGGGGCTGCTCCCTGCAGAGCCTGGCCGGGCACCCCCAGAGCCCCCCGTGTTGCCTTGGGACTGCCCTGGCACCCCAAAGCACCCCTGCGCAGTGGCTGCCAGGTGGGGTGCAAGGGCGCTGGGCGGGCTCTGCAACCCCCCCCGGGGG